ACCAGACCTGCTGAACAATCTCTCCATCTTCTACGTTAAACTTGACAATGTTCACATGGCTGAAGGGAACAACTCCGAGGGCCCACACTACCCCAGAGCCGTAGGAATACACCATCTGGTAATGGATGCTGTCACTGGGAGAGGGAAGGAAAAGCAGGGAGAAACAGCTTTAGACACAGGACAGGGGTATCCTCAGGGGTCTTCCAAAACCAGGCCACCAGGATGTCACAAACTAGCAGTCCCAAATAGGTTTTGTTTGGCTCACAGCTTTTTTTTTTTAATTTGAATTCATTGTCAACATTTAGACCTGAGATTTAACATGTAAGAACAAGATTTCTAATTTTTTCTTAAAAAGTGAGACATAGCAACACTACGTTCCTACAGGGCACCAATCAGCTGAGTAAGGCTGCCCCCTCGAGGTAGGCCAGGCACACTGCAGCTCCCCATAATCCCCACAGGGCCTGCTTTGCTCATGATTGCTATACACCTGGCCCCATGGTAAATTTTTTTTTTTTTGGCTGCATTGGGTCTTCGTTGCTGCGCTAGGCTTTCTCTAGCTGCGGTGAGCGGGGGTTACTCTTTGTTGTGGTACACAGGCTTCTCATTGTGGTGGCTTCTCTTGCAGAGCACGGGCTCTAGGTGCGTGGGCTTCAGTAGTTGTGGCTCATGGGCTCTAGAGCACAGGCTCAGCAGTTGTGGCGCACGGGCTTAGTTGCTCCGCGGCATGTGGGATCTTCCCGAAGCAGGGCACAAACCCGTGTCCTCTGCATTGGCAGGCACATTCTTAACCAATGTGCCACCAGGGAAGTCCCCCCCATAGGAATTTGAGTTTGGGGTCCCTGCCAAAGTGAGTGAGCGAATGAGCCACTCCCCTTGCTTGACTGGCTCTCATGCCCAGATGGAGAGTTTTCTCCTCACTGCAAAGGAAACTTCAGAGGCAGCCACAGCCTTGGAATTCAGGCCTAGAGCTAGTGAGCCCAACACACTACACAGGATGCCAACTTAAGGTAAGCCTGAGTCAAAGCAGACGCTTCAACCCCCAAGGAGAAAGGCGGGCTTGTAGAGAGCAGGAGGTAGCCGTCACCTGGGGGGAAGGCAGCCTTACCTTTCCGGGAGATGTTCCACCCACTTTAGGTGCCCACTGGAGAGGTGATGGAGGGCGAGAGTGGTCTTCTTCAGGACCGCAATGTACCTCACTGACTCCTGCAGGCCTACCAGCCCAAGCGCCTGGAAACTGAGCACAGGGACGGGGTGAGTGCTGCCCAGAGCCTCCTGGGCCTCAGGCTGGACAATCTAGAACACAACCACCATAGCTCGGTAGGTAATGAAACAGGTTTTGGGGTCAAATGCATCTGGATCCTAATCTTGGCTCTGCTTTCCACTAGCTGACTTGAGAGACTGTACTTTCAGCCACTTGGCTGTACTGTTTCCCTGAAACCCCTGTGAATCTCCTAAGGGTTGTTCCCTTCTTCCCCTGGGACCTCACAGCAACCAGGCCTACCCTCTCCCGCGGCAGCCATCAGACAGTTCTGTCATTAGTGGGCTGCACGCCCGCCTCACCCAACTGATGATGAGTTCCTTGATGATGGAAACTATCTCACATTCACAAGTGGGTTCCCACTGCCTGGGGGCTCCCCAAGTACTTACCAAATGAATTACTACCAAAAGATGTATAAGCTAATGCAAGTAAACCCTATAATTTAAACAACTTTAGCAAAGATGTAACAGTGGCTCCAACTGTTCTTCAACATAAAATTAAAACACTAGGTGTGTTATATCACATCCTTATATCTAGAACATTGTAAAGCTCTTGTGTCATGGTAAGATTAGGAAAAGCAGTCAACACAAGAATGAACACTGCACAGAGCACAGAGCTGTGCATCTGACAGGTGCTCAATAAATGCTGGCTGAGTAAACACATGTGTACCATAACCTCAAGAACATCAAAAACTGGGTGTTTGATGCTCTCTGGCTCTTCAGTGGTTTTTTTCCCCTGGGAAAAAAGCCAGAAGGCCCAGAGTTGCCATCTATGCAGATCTGTGTTCCAGCAAAGCCTTTAACCAAACCAAGATGAAATTCAGTTTCTTCCCCTCTACCTGCCACTGTCTAAGGTAATCTCCCAGTTCAGGCCCCCGATGTTAGTCTCCCAGGAGCGCATGATCCGGCCTCCATTGGACACAGTGATTGCATCTGGAAGAGAAAAAACCACGTGAGATCACCTCCCAAATTGATGCTCTGTCTGTAGCCTCCTAGGGTCTGTGAGCAGTGGCCTCACCTCTAATGCATAAGTGCAAACAGAAACTATGCCTGTCCTTTCCTGTTGGGAACACCCCTACTCCATTCGCTACCAGACCCTGAACAAAGGAAGGAACCAAGCAAAGAGGAGAGGGAGCCAGTGCCATCATAGGGACAAAGCAGGACTCTACCTACCCTGTCCACAGAGCAGCATGGCATCCACTGCCCCTTCCGCTGTGCCCTTGTCAACATGGCGCCACACTGAGAGACAGGAGAGTCGACGTTACTATGAACCACAGCAAGGCATCCAAGAAGCGAGGCAAGAGAGGACCGAAGAGACCTTCGTTTGCACAGGAGTGCCCAATTTTACTTCAGGGGAGGGAAGGATTACAGCTAACTGGCAATGATCCACTCCCACTCACTGGTTAATGAGGGGAGCGACTATTGTCCCAATCTGAGGTCTCTGCACTTCCCATCCCCACCAGCACCCCATCAAATATATAAACGGACAATGACAAAATTCACAAAATCCATACGGCTCACAAGAAAAGTAGTGACTGTAAATTACATTTCCATGATTTTAATGCCAACAAATATCCATAAAAGCAATATAAGTAATTGGGGGGGAGGGGCACATCCAAAACTTTAGTGCGAAATAGAATAATGTGTTTTTTGCAGCAATATCTTATTTAAGAACAGTCAGGACTTGGGCTGAGGAAATAAACTCAAAGGCCAGTAGTAGGAATACGTTAAATATTCAAAGCTGACAAGACCCAAAAAACAAAAAGAACAAAATAAACTGATCAGGATCCAATAAGAGATGCAACCTTTGGCCAACTTGTCCCCAAGTGGGGAATCAGCCACGTGGCCTTCACAAGCCACAGGGCATCCTGGATCCACTACAGGCAGCCATGCCATCCCCGGCTACCCCTCCACACAGTTCACTCACAGATCTCCCCAGTTCGAGAATTCAATGCTGCAATCACATTCTTCTCTGTGGCCACAACCAACTTCTTGGATCCAGGGGAAAATTCCAAGGAGGCAAACTTGAGTTTCCCGACATACTGCTGTCTCCTAAAGGAAAGAGTACAGGGAAATGCAAGGGGCCAAAACCATCACTGCACAAAACGCTCTGGAAAAAGACAACTGCACAAATACATGAGGGTATCACCATCATAACTATCTCAGGTTGCATGAGAAATGTTTGTTAACGAAGAGATCTGACCAAAAGCAAGATTTCCAGGCAATGGGAAGAAGCAGAGAGGATGCACCCTAATCGATGAGAAATACAACAGTCTTCCTTCTAAATGCAAGCACTTGTTTATCTCAAGGTAAGGAACACCCAAAAGAGCACCTGGCCTAAATCCCACTAGAACAAAATTACAGTCCTCTCTGTACTCATTAATAGCGAGACTAGACACTCACATTACACATGAGAGAAGACCATACAATCCAATTTTTCCTTCTATTTTCATTGACCTTTGGAGAAAAATTATGCAAATATTCTTACAAAACTCGATAGATCAGGGTCAGGCCTTTGTTCTCTGCAGCCTGTTCTAGCCCACGCTATGTTCAGGATCCATCTGACTCATTACTCATACTTTCCTTGGAATATACCCCATCACTTGCAACACTCTTATCTAAGCATAAAGTTAAAGTACTTAGCTTCCTGAGGCATACTACCAAGTACAGAGGAGGTGTGTTGCATATTGCTGTTCATGAATTACAACCTCTAGCAAATTAAACACCTGACATTTACACTGAATTTCCCTTGTTATGTTGTGTGGTCTAATTTTTTTTAAAAAAAGAAGAAACTACACTAGTATAGAGAGACAGGTTTATATGACATTTGACAGTTTCTATCTGTATTTCCACATACTTTAATCTCACCGTGGTCACTAAACACTTTATGAAGAACATAGGACAAATATTATCCCTCTCATTTTACAGGTGAGTAAACCGAAGTCCGTTGAGGTCAACAAACTACTATCAGAACTAGAATGCAAAATTAAGAACTTCTTAGTCTAAATCCCATGGTTTTTTTAAAAATGCTGTTATCTTTTATCTGGACTATAAAAGTAATGCCTGCTTCTTGTAGAAAACATAAAGGTATAAAAAAGAAAACAAAAAATGCCTAAAATACCACCATCCATGAACTTTTTTTCTTCAACCATAAACTTTTCAACATTTTGGTGTATTTCCTTCTGTTTACTTGTCAATTTATAAATTGCATATACCTAGGATTCTGCTAAATCGGAATCACATGCTGTACATACGTAATATATACAGTTAACCCTTGTATAACACAGGTTTGAACTGTGCAAGTCCACTTATACGCTGGTTGTTTTCTACAGTAAATACTACAGAACTACACGGTCTGCAGTTGGTTGAATCTGCGGATGTGGAACTGCAGATACAGAGGGCTTACCATAGGTTATGCTCAATTTTTGACCACAGGGAAGGTCAGCACCCTCAGCCCCTGTGTTGTTCAAGAGTCAGCTGTACATATTATATTGTGAGCATCTGCCCACATCATTAAAAATGTGACTCATGTTGCATTTGTCACACTGTCTTATATCACATAACTTATATATCTGCCCCCCTAGACTGAGCTCCTTTCCATCTCTGTGTCCACAGCACCTAGAATGATTGTTGACCCACAACAGGCACTCAACAAACATGCGAATTAATTTGTCTGATACAGAAAAGACTTCACAGAGGAGCTGGGCTCTGAAAGATAAAGTGTTCCCTCAATAGTAATTATTGGTAACAAACTGATTGTACTCAGTGAGCCAGGCACTGTGTTGAGTAATTTAAAAGAATTGTCTTATTTATCCTTACAACTACTGAAAGAGGTAATGGACTACTAGTAAACCCATTTTACAGATAAAAAAACGAAGGCACAGAGTGGTTAAGTCATTTTCCCAAGACCGCACAATGCTTAAGTGGCAAATTGACATTCAAGCAAAAGTGAGCCAACTCCCTGGCCTTAAGGAAGGGGTGGGTGAGTGAATGAATGAGTCAATGAATGAGTGAATGAGCGACTGAATGTGTGAATGAGTGCCTGAATGAGAGACTGAATGAAGAGTAAGTGAATGAATGAATGAAAGTGAGTGAATGAAAGAAGAGTGAGTGAGTGAGCCAGTGAGTGAGGGAACCTCAAGGCTGATGTGAGTCTTGGGTGGTCCTGTTCTGAGCCCATGGCAGGGTTGGGCTAGAGGGGTGGGGAAAGACGGCGTTCACTGAGGGCTGTCGACGTCTGACACCCAGTAGATAAGAAACCTGACAGTCACCGAAATGGGGCCTGATGGAGGAGGAGAAGGGAGACCTCTGACCAGAACCTCAGCCATGCCCGGATGGCAGAGCCCGCTTCACGGGCTTGCGACCTGTACAGCCGCACAGGGACTGGCTCAGAAGGGCCTCCAACTCTCGGTTTAATGCTCTGCCGTCGCCACCTTAAAACTTAATTTTTGAACAAGGGGTCTCACATTTCATTTTCCCCTGGGCCCCGTACGTTTTGCAGCCGGCGGTGCTGCACGGTAACCACTCCCCATCCTTTTAGACAGAAGACAAGTACTGGGAAAATATTTCCCGAATAGGTCCCCCACGTACGCACCAATCAAACTTGCCCACTTGGTCTTCGTAGACCGCGGCCGCAGGGATGAGCAGGGCAGCCCAGAGCCAGAATCCGGAAGCCACCGCTGCCGCCGCCGCCATGATGGCAGCCCGGGCTCGGCCCGCCGCCGGCCCGGCATGCACCGCGCCGCAGGCTCCGCCTCCGCAGAACCATAGAGTTGGGAACCCGCACGCGGAGCTCTCGGTGGGGTGCCCAGGACTCTGGGATCCCCCGCCCGCGCAGGAAGTCGCTCTGGAGACTCGAGGGAGAGCGCAGGCGGTGTCCGGTCAGGGAGAGGCGGGCCTCAGTGCACATTGGGTCGGGCACGCGCAAGGGCAGCCCCCGAGGGCCCTCCCAGAGGCCCCAGCGCCGCCGAGGTCCTAATAGGCAGCACCGTCTTCTGCCGCACGTGGTTGCAGCGAGATGCCCAAATCCAAGCGCGACAAGAAAGGTGGGCAAAGGGGGTCTTTGGACCCGGTGAGGAATTCGCGGGCTGGCTGTCACTTGCGGTAGGGGCTTCGCGGGGGAAGCACGGGGGTGGGGGCTGGAGCCGGGTCGGGTCAGGGAGCGGAGACTGCTTTGCCAGGCCTCCAGAGTTTGTCCAAGGCCGGCTGGTCGGGGAACAGCCTCTGAACACCCAGGCCGCGCCCGATCTCGCCTTGGCCCACCTTTTCCTACCTCAGCCCATCTGTCTTAGCTCTCCGCGCTCCCCCCACCCTACCGCCTTTCCCTCAACCCAGGTTTATCCCTAAGTATGGTCTTGTGTACTTGAAGTTGCTTCTGTCTGGCATGCTTGTGCTCCGGCCTTTGTATGGCTGGCTCTTTCTCAGTTGGCAGTTCGTAGGATACCTCCTAAGAGAGTATTCCTGAGTACCTCTACTGTGGTGAGTCTCTCTCACTCCGGCTCTCTAGCGCATTCACTCAACAAATTAGAGAGGGGCCTGGCACTCTCTAGGCGTCGAAGGATACAGCAGTTACAACAAGGAAGGCCTAGATCCCTCATCAAGCTTAATATTTTAGTTATGGGGAGTATATCCTCCCAAGGTACCGAAAATCGAATTAGTAAATTCAGATAGTGGTAAGTCCCGTGGAGTAAGAGAGAAAGAGAAGTTGATGTTCTTTTGTGCAGTGTGGCCAGAGAAGGTCTCTGTTGAGATGACAAATGAGCAGGAACTTGAAGAAAGCAAATAAGCAACCCATGGAGTTACCTGGAAGGGTGGTGGTCCCAGGAGAGGGAACAGGAAGGGCAAAGGCCCTGAAGCGGGAGCATGTTTGACATGTTCTGGGGCAAGACGCCAGCGTGGCCAGGGCAGAGTGCGCAAAAAGGAGGGAGAGGGAATTGGGCAGAGTGTGCGGGACTTGAAAGACCTTTGCAAGGAACTGGCTTTCACACGCAGGTGAAACGGGAGGAGAGAGCTCGAGCAGAGGAATGATGGGGTTCAACTTTACTTTTAAAAAGATCACCCTAGTTGCTTTGTTGAGAATAGACAGGGAAGGTGGGGGCAGTGTGCAGGGGTGGAAGCAGTGAGACTAGCAGTAATCCAAGAGAGCGTGGTGCTGGCTAGGTCCACAGTTGTAGCAGTGGAAATGTTGGAAAATGGACAGCTGTATTTTGTTTGCCCTCCTGTGCTGCACTCGCCCCTGAATGGCGTGATTAGCTTTCTAGATGTGTGCTTCGTGAAGCGGGACTGACTGAGTGCCAGGCAGGATGAATAAGAAGCGGCCTCCTCCTAGGACCCAGGGCTTTGCATTTGATGCTCTGTTAAGCGTTTGTGGAATGATTGGGTTCTGTGGAGGGAGCCCTGGTCAGATCTGGCAAATGTCAAACCCTTCTGGTTAAGGGGCAAATTGGGCCCCAGCTGTTGTTGGAGAAGAGGTGCTTGTCCTTCCCCAAAGACACGTTGCTGCATCCATGGGTCCAAACTGCAAGACAGGGCGTAGCAGAGGAGATACAGTCCCCAGCCCAGAGCAGCCACAGATGGTCTCTGTGTACCACAGCAGCACAGGGACGCGCCTCAGCCAGCAGCTAGCTCAGCCACTGGCAGGGCCCCCAGAGCCTCCACACCTCAGTAGGGAGTTTTCGCTTCACCTCAGGGGAGCTAAGGAATACCTAGTTTGCCTGAGTAACAGGAAAGATGGGAAGGGACCTTAAGGCTCGGGAGCAGTAGCGAGCAGGCACTCTGGGGACCCTGGGAGTAGCCTTGCATGCCAGAAGTGGTGTCCACAAAAGCCTTGCTACCTTTTCTCAGATTGGCTTGGTCCAGCTGGGCTACCAAAGCGGGGAAGAAAGAGTCTCCGGGACATCCAGATTTGTCTCTCATCATCTCTCCCTTTTCTTCTTTGTATTAGTCTCCCTCACCAAAACCGCCAAGAAAGGCTTAGAACTGAAACAGAACTTGATAGAAGAGGTAAGAGCGTGTTCTTTTTATTTTTCCAGACCTTGGGGGGGGGGGGGAAAGGTGCTGATCCAGCCCTTTTTCCTCCAGTAGCAGCACCAATAAAAACTCCCATAGTGATTGAGCCCTTACTCTGCCCTGCACAGCGCTGTTACATGTGAAGCACCCCTGTGAGGTAGATGCAAGGGGATTTTATCGCTGTTTTGCAGTCTGGTAACTGAAGCTTGCAGAGATTTGTTAGTCTGCCCGATGTAAAAAAAGCCAGGGAGTTACCAGGTGTGGGTAAAAGCACCAAGCCACTGTCTGCACTGCATCAGGCTGCAGGCTGAGTGACAGTGGAGTTTCCTCCAGCACGAAGATGCCATTTTCCTTGAGAGCACTTCATCGTGGCTGCAGCCAACAACGTGGGCGCCGCAGGGCTGATGAGCCGCCTCCTCTTATGACTAAATGACGAGACTTTACATGTTTCCATATAGCAGGAGACTTCCTAGTGTAGCTAGGTTTTTAGATCGTCAGCAATTACTGGACAAAGCAAAGAGAAGTGGTCTGTTGCAGTGGTGGCCACCGTAAGTCGGAAACCTGGGGAGCCGGTGGGCTCTTGGCCCGTGGCTCAGCTTCCCCCGCACTTTGCCATCAGGCCTGCTTTGCGTCAGGGCAGCCCCTGTACTTAGTATCCTGGCTTCAGTAGCCGAGGCAAGGAGGAAACCAGGTTAGAGGCTCTAAACATCCACAGTTGTAAGAGACCTGGAGCAGTCTCTTTCCCACCTGAGGCCAGAGTACTGCCCAACCCCAGCTGCCCCTTGGACTCCAGAGCCCCATGAATTGTCCTGCAGCTTCGGAAGTGTGTGGACACATATAAGTACCTCTTCGTCTTCTCCGTGGCCAACATGAGGAACAGCAAGCTGAAGGACATCCGCAGTGCCTGGAAGCACAGCCGGTGAGCGGGCAGTGGGAGAAGGGCCTGAGTGCGGAGGGGCCAGGCTGCTTGCAAAGCACAGGGGCAGTTAGTGACCTCAGTCACAGGTGGCACCTTAATAAGGACAAAGTGCTACGCCCCCATCCCCGCTGAAGGGCGCTTTTTAACTGTTAAAGTTTGTCTCGCCTTGGGGGGGTGGGGGGCGGGTTGAGCAGTGACCTCTCCAGGAGAAGGGGCTCCCTGAACCCTGGGGTCTGGTCCCTTAAGGAACATCCCCCCCGTTCTGGTTCAGACCATTAAACAGGCCCCTTCCACATATCCAGACGCACTCACAGTGGGCTGAGACAGAATTTGAGTTTCAGGGTCTGTGCAGGAAAATAATGAGAGGGACCCTGGGCTGGCGACAAAGTGAGCAGGGCTGCGTGGAAGAGTGGAGCCTCTGGCCACACCTTCTGCTACAGAACAGCCTGGGCCTTGGCTTGGGCTCCGGGGACTGAAGCTCGTTTGCACTGAAGTGAGGGCAGGGCAGGGCGCTTCCTTCACAGACCCCTCTTTTTCTCTGTAGGATGTTCTTTGGCAAAAACAAAGTGATGATGGTGGCCCTGGGTCGAAGCCCGTCTGACGAGTACAAAGACAATCTGCATCAGGTGAGTCTCTGGCCCTCACAGGGAGGGGCCGAGGCCAGGCTGCCTTCTCCGCTGCTGTCACATGATGCACACTGCAGCCTTCTGGCGGCCCGGCGTCGGCTTAAAGCTCAGTTCTCCTTTAACCTCCAGACCCAGAGAGTAGTGCTGCCCCCTTCCAGCTGTGACCAAAAATGTCTCCAGGTGTTGCCAGATGAGGGGGCGGGGCCGGCAAAATGGTCCCCGGTTGAGAACTGCTGCTCTAATGTGACCGACCCCGCCCCACTTTGGTTCTGTAGGTCAGCAAGAAGTTGAGGGGTGAAGTTGGTCTCCTTTTCACCAATCGCACTAAGGAGGAAGTGAATGAGTAAGTGCCCTGGAGGAGTGGTGGGAAGGGAAAGGTTGGCGAGGTCTCCGGGGAGGGAATAGCCCAGGACTTTGTACAGTAGAGGCACCGAGTAAAACCTGGTTCCTGGTTCCTGGAATCCCGTTACGGAGTCTCTGTTCTCCCGGGCTCGGAGCTCCAGGCTGAGCCAAGGAGGAAGGGCAGTGAGGCGAGGCCCAGGCGGAAACCTGCCCTCCTGCCACTTCTCTTTCCTCTCAGGTGGTTCACGAAATACACGGAGATGGACTACGCCCGAGCTGGGAACAAAGCCACTTTCACCGTGAGCCTGGACCCGGGGCCCCTGGAGCAGTTCCCGCACTCCATGGAGCCACAGCTGAGGCAGCTGGGCCTGCCCACGGCCCTCAAGAAAGGTACAGGGGCGTCCCCAGAGCTGAAAGGTCACAGCCGAGCGGCCGAGAGTGCAGGTTTCCAAGCCAGACAACTACCCCCTCACCCCCAATTTCTACTGGCCTCCGTTTTCTCATGTGAAAATGGGACTAACAGCGCCCGCCTGACAGCTGGGGTGAATGTGGACAGTAAGTTACAGCTAGAATACAGCAGTTACGGGGCAAGGAAGGAAGGAGGAGTCACTGCCCCCCAAAAACCCTCCTGGGCTGCTGAACGCTCACTGATGAACCCCTGCCCCGACGCTGCTGGAAGCCTGGGGGCGGGGGTCCGGCCCAGTTCCTCTGGCCCTGCACAGGCCTCTGTGCCAGAGTAACTGCCTGGGGGCCCCCTTCTCTGTAGGTGTGGTGACCCTGCTGTCTGACTACGAGGTGTGCAAGGAGGGCGATGTGCTGACCCCGGAGCAGGCCCGCGTCCTGGTGAGTTCCCTCCGCCCCGGGCGTCCGCTGCTGCGGCGGGAGGGGCCGCAGACTCCTCTGACCCCACTCGCTCCTCCTCACCTTTGGGTCCCTTTGCCTCTGGCAGAAGCTTTTCAGGTATGAAATGGCCGAATTCAAGGTGACCATCAAGTACGTGTGGGACGCGCAGTCTGGAAGGTTCCAGCAGATGGGAGATGACTTGCCAGAGAGTGCGCCCGAGTCGGAAGTAGAATCAGAGGAAGACGACGACAGCTGACGTGCACTCAGGACGGGACCTCCGGGCCTGCTCCAGATCTTGTCTGGACTGGCCGGCGTGGGACTGCCGCAGCCCTCTCGGGGGAGCAGCCGTGTATTTTGCTGTGGATGCACACAAGGGCGGGTGACAGGGACAGGCTATTCTATAAATAATGAAACTTTGTCAGCAGGGTGTCTCCTGCAAAAGGGACTTTTCTAGGAAAAAACCCTTGGGTTTGGGCTTTGGTTTGGACCCCCAGGATTCTTAGTTCACCTCGAGCCAGTTTCCAGCACTGGCTCCTGTGTGACCACTGGCCAGGCGGCCCCGGGAGCACAAGAGGAACCGCCTTCTCCTTTCCTCTGGCCCTCGGCGCCCCTGGCTTGAAACTGGGATTTGTTTGAGGAAAACAGGCACCCTGCCTGCCGCCCTCCTACTCCTACTCTCTATTCTCTTTCCCACCCCCAACCCCCAAAACCAGGGCCAAGAAACTTGTGGATGACCAGGAGACAGGAGAGGTGTTGGCTAAAGCAAAAATAAAGTCACTGCTGAAACTGAATGAATGTAAAAAACATTCCACTGCATCCTGGGAGGTTTTAGTCTTCTGGGTGGTGGCTCCAGGTGGTAGGTTTTTGCCCAGATTGTTCTGTCTTTAAGTATTTAATGAGGTCATTCTGAATGAGAGAAAATCTACCTCAGGGTGTATGGCCCTCTTTTTCTCTGTCACGTGTAGAAGCGTGAGGGCCACCTGCAGCCCCGATGTTGAGAGGTCACACTGGGTTCAGGGCAGGAGGCTGGGAGACCCTCCCACCGCCTCTGCCCTTTGAAGACTAATCCCTACTCCTGCCCTCTTCTCACCAAGCCTGTGGGAGAACGAGAAACAGCCTGCAGGCTGCAGAGGAAACAGATTCACCAGATTCACTGTGGCCCTGGGCTCCAGCCAGGTTAGTGCCTCTTTACGCAGACAGGAAACGCCTGAGTAGATGCAGCCCTGGGCTTTTTCCATGATGAAGCCAACTGGGAGTATTAACGAGAACATAGGAGACAAACAAGTTTGTGGACTGGGACTGTGAGGAAAGAACTAGCTACATAAAGCAGCTTAAAGTCAGAACTGACTGTTTGAGAGAATAAAAGAGGTGATAGATGGAGTGTGTCCTCTGCCACCCCAAGTCAGGACTAGGCCTGGTGGAGGTAGCTGGGACATTCATGGGCAGACAGGTGCCAGGCCTGATCAAAGGCCTGCGTGACGGCCGGCTCCAGGGGCTCTCCCTCAGCGGCCACCAAGTTCTGTTCTAGCTGCTCCAAGCTGGACATGCCCAGGATGACTGCGTCCCCCTGAGACGGCCAGACGTCAACACACTAGCGCGCCACAGTGACTCCAGTCACACAGGCCCCCTCCCACCCTGCCCCTGCCAAGATCTGCAATCCGAAGTCTATATTATTCTGCACAGAACTTACATTGCCTTCAAACAGCTCTACAGCCCTGCTTCCCTAGACGCATGCAGGCAGACCTGAGGTCCCCTCTGCTGCTCGGCAGCTTGGAGGGCTTGGGTTAGTCATGTGACCTCCCTAAGCATCAGGCTTCCTTTACTTTGCAGGGTGGTTGTGGGAGGTTTTTTTTTTGGCCGTGCCTTGCAGCATGCTGGATCTTGGTTCCCCAACCAGGAATTGAATCCATGCCCCCTGCAGTGGAAACGCAGAGTCCTAACCACTGGACCGCCAGGGAATTCCCTAAAATTTCATAAAGTACTTAGCTTCAGGCCTAAGCACTTAACAGGGGCTCAAGAAAGAGGCACCATTAGTATGTGGTGCCCAAGTTGGAGGAAGTTGTTGGGAAAGCGGGATGGCAGGGAGAGGGCAGCCCTGCCAGGGACATGGAGTTGGCCTCTGCAGAGCAGGCAGCCAGAGACAGATAAATGCTAATGCTGAAAAAATGTAGGTTTCCGCATCACGCATAGCTTCTGCCCTATCTCATGTACCCACAGTTAGGTGAAGTGGCCTCTGAGTCAGTTTACTCATACGTAAAGTTGGGGTAATTATACTTACTAGGGCCAGTAGTGTTTGTAATGTGACACTTAATAAACTTCTCTAAGAACAGGAATACCACCCAAAAGACCTGGGCCATGGAGACATTTCAGAAAAGGAAAAGGAGTAATCCAGAAATCATTAAATAATCACGCAGCCCTCTCCTTCACTTCCTCCTTCCTACCTGGAGCTGGGAGTGGTGGTACCTCCACCAGAGGGCGGCCGAGGTCACGCTGGGGGCGCTGGTGCCATACGCAGCCTGCAGGCCTTCCCCACCAAGGAAACAGCCCAGAAGCCGGGTGAGTGGAAAGGGTGGCACGCGGGTCAGGACACTGGGATTCCTGCAGGTCCCTGGTCCCCGAGCCACTGACGGACCAACATCTCAAATGGAGGTTTTGTTTCCCTGAGCAGCAGAATGCATGTGGATTTCTGGGCCCCTCACCGGGGTGATTTCAACCCAGTGGTAGGAGCAGCGGGGATACAGTGGGCAAGGATCCTTGCATTGAACATGGTCTCCGGATGCGAACAATACAACTCCCCAGATCGGGACCCAGGAGTGTCCACAGCACCACATCTTTGTGCCCCGGGTCACAGACAGGACAAGTCCTGGCTCCAGTCCCAGCTCTGGCCTTGGCTCAGTCACCTGCCTTCCCTTATCTGCTCAGTGAGGAAACACCCCGAGCCAGCCCCACGCGGTGAGTGCAAAATGTAAAGGAGATAATGGACCTGCAGTGCTCTGTCAGCTAAGAGCAGAGAAGGTGAAAACTATCAACCAAGAGCCTCCAGGGGTGAGACCTAAGCGTTGGTGGTGTGACGAGCTCCTTGAGAGACACTGCTTAGGGCGATGGCTCCTAAACCTGGCCAGACAATCAGAAACCCTGGCAGGGGGCTTCCCTGGTGGCGCAGTGGTTAAGAACCCGCCTGCCAATGCCGGGGACACAGGTTCGATCCCTGGTCCAGGAAGATCCCTCATGCCACAGAGCAACTAAGCCCGTGTACCACACTACTGAGCCTGCACTCTAGAGCCTATGAGCCACAACTACTGAGCCCGTGAGCCACAACTACTGAGCCCGTGCACTTAGAGCCAGTGCTCCGCAACAAGAGAAGCCACCGCAATGAGAAGCCTGTGCACCGTAACAAAGAGTAGCCCCCACTCGCCGCAACTAGAGAAAGCCCACCTTCAGCAACGAAGACCCACCGCAGTCAAAAATTAATTAATTAATTAATTTTTAAAAGTCCTGGGCCATTTCAACAAAACTAGCATTGGAGCCTTGGAGACTCAGCTTCTGTAAATCTTGAAAGATTAGGAACTTTCCAGCAGTCCACAGATAATGTCTAAATTTGATAAATTAAGGAATAGCAGTAAAGTGTATGCATCAGAGATCTCACAGTAAATGCCAGAGGGAAGGAAAGCTGTAGGAGTTAAAAAGCATCACCTTGGAGGAGTGTGACTTGAAAAGGGCTTGCTTCTAGCTGTGGGCCTGTGTTACTTTGATAACTTTTTCAAACTTGCAAAAGTGAAAAAAAGGAAGGGAAGAAGACTAGTCCCAACAGATGTTCAACTATAACTTTAGACATTGGTGACAGTGTTATTGCCAAGAGTTTACAAAACTTAGACTCAGTTGCCCCAGGTGACAGGCCAGCATCAAGCCCCAGGAATCCCAAGTTCCAATCCAAGATTTCTTCTCCCGCTGTGGGCAGGGGGTAGGCTCTTCCCAGGGAAAAGACATAGTCTCACAGACCTGGTGGAAGGTCCAGAGCTCTACGCATTCCCAATCCAGGCCCCCAATCACTCCCCCAGAGACACTAGCAAAATTTTAGGGGTAACTTTCTCAGTAAAGCTGGTGGGGATCCAGGGGCAAAGGTCTGAGCACAGGGGGAGGTCCTGGCCCCCAAGAAAGCAGCCCCAGGGACTCCCCATTGCAGACTAAGGGGACCTATGCCACCTCCCACCCTGACGCAGCCCATGCCCAGCTCACCGATTCCTGTAGATCTCTGCCCAGTTGGTCCCAAAGAAACGGCCCACAGGTTGTTACCCATCCTTGTCCCCATACTTGTACTTGCCGGTCAGCAGGCCCCCTGCGGGAAGGCTGTAATCAGATCCCCTGGCACTGCTCCCAGAGGCTGCTCTGGACTGGAAGTGGGTGTGATGGTGGGGGACCCAGGAGGGATGGAGGACCCAGCCCAGCCTCTTGTCAAACCCCTCCCTGCTTCCCAGGTCTGGAACCAGGCATCCCCAGGGTCAGGAACAGGCAGAAACACGGCCAGGAAGACCCTTCCACCTGGGGTGAGCCTGTCCCCACAGCAGCCCACACCCCATACCAGCCAAAGGGTTTTAGGCGTAGAACCTCAGTCCTGAGGCAGGGGAAGAGCTCTGTCTCCACTTGCTGGGTGATGGCGTTGTACATGCCCTGCAGGCAGAAGGGCGAGCTGGAGAGGGCACGTGGGACCCCAAATTTTCCTGTGGAGAACCTCAGTTCAGACCGTAACAATCAGGCAGATACTTAGTGGCGCTGGTGGAGAGGGCTCATGCCCAAGGAAAATTCATTCCTTCAGCCAACATTTCTGAGCACTACCTATGGCCTGGATACTGGATTTCCAACCACAAGCCAAAGGACAAAGCTGCTGCGCTCAGAGATTTAATAGTGAGGTAGAGTGTTAACAAACATATTCAACAAAAGAGACAATCATAATACACTAGTAAGTTCTGTGACCAGTGCCTGGCAGCAAGTAGGTGCACAAACATTTGCTGAATGAATGAGGAGAAGAAAAGGAGGACCTGAGATCTCAGGCTCCTCTGGGCTATCAGGAAAGGCTTCCAGAGGAAGAGGCATCTAAGTGAGACCTGGGCACTCCTTCCAGGGAGAGCGGGGAGGAGTGTTCCACGCTGACTGCAGAGCCAGAAGCAGGCAGGAAGGGGAACCTGGGCCCGAGAGAGCAGGCTGAGGGTACCCGGGAGCCATCTACAGGCTGTGAGCAGGGGAGGCAGTGGGGTGGCT